TAAACCGGCAGTTGACTTCTAACTTCAAACCACTATGACCCCACTGTGTGTCTTATTCCACCACCTCCACAGTACTCACCTCACCTTACCTTTTTTCTCTACCTTTGTGTCTGTCTGCCTCTTTTACATCTGTGAATCGCTCTTCTGTTCCCACCCCATCCGAAGTCAGCTAAATGGCTAATGATATCTATCAAAACCCCTGCCATTTGAAATAAAATAAATATTCAAAAATACGCGACAATGAGTTAGTACAATTTGAAGTAATTTATTAAGAATAAGTAAACATTAGAAGGACTATTAATTACTATAGCAATCATTTAACAATATATGACCATACATTTAGAATGACTGAAATAATACAAGGATATATGATTTAAACAACCAGTTGGAATAAAATTTACATAAACTTCATGAACAATGAATGATGATGGTAATTATGTATCCCTTGGTTTTCATTATAAACAGTCTCTTTGTCATTCGCATGTAGGGCAATAAATTTTGCATAAGAAAATAGGTAACAAAAGTTTAAAAAAAGAAATTAAACACTACTGTATAGCCACGAATGAGTGAGGAATGCAGATATCCAATCACAATCCAGAAGATTAGAGAGACCAGGGAAAGGAAAATGACAACGGGCACAAAGTAGCCGCAAATCTTGTCCGCCAACTGTTGAATTGGTGCCTAAAATAAATAAATAAAGATAAAAGTTCATTAAAATAGAAAGAATTACTTTTGTATTGCTGGCAATCTAAAGTCAATTTGAAGATTGATGTTCACGAAGTTGACTTTTATCCTCAACTTGAGTTAGAATAAATGTGACCGAATTTTATCATTATGAAGAGGAACCAGCGCAAAGTCCTGCCTGCTAGAATCTCGAAGTCCTCCCCTTCCCCGAAAATATTGTACAAAGGGGCCTATTTTAGAAATTGAGAACGTAGGATTGAGCAAACCAGCCTTCAAGATTTATTGGCTCAACTGACACAAGATAGGCTTTTTTTTAGTCGGACACAACAAATGTGTAAAGAAGAATTCTACAATGGAACCACCACTTTTAGTGCTGCTGTGTATAAGTAATTTCACGTAATAATTCCAAATTACGAAGTGAAAGGAAGAAGTTGAGGATGAACATGAATTTCAAATCCAAACCAAGGCTGGAAAAGGGTGGCTAACTACCCAAAAGGCAACTTGTAGCTTCGCATAAGTCACTCTCTCCCCTCTCTCTCTCTGATGCACTAGAAGTTGAAAGCCATGATTCCTATTGTACAATTCGTCCAATGTATATATATATTATTTTTGTTTTAAACGAAAGAACTGCTTATTTTGAGGTCAAACAAATAGAATGCATCTTTTCAATGGAGGGACTAGTATGACGAAAAAAAGATTAAGTAAACGAGAGAAAAATGAAAAATAAGTTAGAGACCAAAGCGAAAGAATTGGAGAATTAATTTTATTTGAAGAGCAAACGAAGAAAGTAATTGGTCTCAAATAGGGAATAGGGTCATTAAAGGTTCCTGACTTTTGTATTCCGAAGAATGGGGCTATCTCCGTAATAATACATTTCCACAGCCGCTTAGAGACTACCATTGGACAAACTGAACGAATTCGGATTGTAACCTTCCATCCCCACCTGTCTGATTTAAATGTCTAATAATTTATTTTAAAGTAATTTGTTTACAACTACAAAACTCAAGGAGATAATGCAATTTTGGCGCGACTGCACCAGGACACCTGTAGGTATATCACAGAATAAATTTAACTCTTAGATACCTTGTCATCGCGATCATGACATCCTTTCTACTCCCTCCCTCCCCCTCTGTTACGATGATGTATTTATAGATGTTTTAGATATGGCAAACAAATACACTACAGAAGAGGTATATAACGGAGACAACTAATTGAAAACTCAAGTTAGTAAGGATGAGGAGGAGGAGAAGGAGGAGGAATAAAGAGAACTCACCTTAGACGACTGGGCGTCCTCAACTAGGGCAATAATCTGCGCAAGAGTTGACTCACTGCCAATATGAGTTGCTTGCACATAAAGCAGACCTGAGAGATTGATTGAACCACCCACTAGGACGCTGCCTGTGTGAATTAAAAAATGAAATGGGTAGTTTGTTAACTAGCAGGCTCATTACGTGCATGGTCGATAGACTATTCAAACGTACCGACAACTTTAGGAACTGGCATAGATTCCCCAGTGAGCATCGACTCATCACAAGAAGAGACACCAAAGACAACCCGAGAATCTACTGGAACTTTCTCTCCCGGTACAATCTGTGAATATGAAAGGACTAGTCATTCAGGTCTCTTAATGTCAATAGATATCCAATGAGATTATACCTTTATAATGTCTCCTCGCTGAACAAGATCTATTGGTATCCGCCGTTCTCGAAAGGTCTGAAGTGTATCAATAGTTAGATTCTGGATATCAACTTTATCCTTCGAAACCGGAGTTTCCATAAGTGTGGCGTCTTTAGCTTGAAGGGATAGAAGTTTTGTAACAGACTCGGACGTCCTCTCCTATAAAACCACATCAGTTTGGTCAATCAAAAGCTCTCACGAGCAGTATTAATGCACTAAGAGCTTAAACTAACCTTGGCCAAATTCTCAAGCCACCTACCAAGAGAAATGAAGAGAAAGAGCATTGGTGTGGCCTCAAAGACAGTACGTGGACTAGTGGACCATCGATGACACATGGCGATTAGAACAACAACAACGGAGTACGTGTAAGAGATACTTGAAGCAATCACCAGCAGCACATCCATATTAGCCATTCCATGCTTCAATGACTGATAAGCTCGACTATAAAAATGTCGACCGCTAATGAACTACACAGAGGGAGAGAGAGAGAGAAAAGCAAACATCTCAATAAATATGAAGTAGAAGAATAAGAATTCAGCAGACACACAATAAATATACTTGAACGGGAGTAGCCAGAAGAAACATGATAAAATTTTCCCATGAAAGACCAGGAGAGAGCATAGGCGGTATGGGGTGAGGATGGTTAAAATTGCCTGAAGCGTTGTGCATACGGGGAAGACAGTAGCCCCCTACAGGACTATGCGGCCAGATCATCATGAAAATAAGCATAGCAAGCATAGTGGGAAGACCAAGGAGGAGATTAATGATAAAGTTGCAACGCCATCTTCAGGAAAAAGAAAACCAAGGCAAGAACGATAGTCACGAAGTGAAGTCATATTACTTACCGTTTAACTTCATCAAAATCTCGATTAGATTTGTTGCGCTCGGCATACATCGACGCTTCAAAGCCCAAGTTCTATTTAACCGATAAGAAGAAAGGTAAAATGACTTGAGCTGGATCAATTCAATACAAATAAGGGGCCATAATCACCTCAATGGCTTCCAATACATGTCTTGCTCCGGTCAAATGAGGATCGAATTCGATTTTACCACGCTTGGTCGCAAGAACTACAGAAGTGGATATGACTCCAGGGAGTTTCTTAAGGGCAGATTCAATTGAGTTCACACAAGAACTACAGGTCATTCCAACGATCTAAAACACATAATTAGCAGAAAAGATTATTTATCTCCCCCTAGCCATGGTCCAAATGCTGCAAACACAGCTGAAAACAGTAAAGAATCTTCATCTCGCCTATTAAAATTGTGAGATTTCAGAGAGCAGTGGTGAGTGTTCTACACATACCAACATACCACGTTATAAATACTCTAACATACCAATCCGAATGAGCTTCTGCTCAACGGGTTTGATCAACCTCAAAGGAAATTTTAGAAGAGAGTAATTACTCTATAGTTAGGATCAAGTCGCGGTAATGGCAGACTATACGTTCTGATAATCAGTTTCATGAACGAATAAAGATTCTCTGTTTGAAGACAGGTGTACTGTTGCTGTTCATCTGAAGTTTAAGCCCGCAGAGGTTCAATCTCTGCCGGTGCTTCCTCTCTAGAGGCTAAATAGACTTGAGAGTTAATTCGGAGCCACAGAGCACTTCCTATTCAAGAAAGTGATTTTATGATTTGAAATAAAATTACTCATCTGCACTATCTTTATGCACTGATGGAGCAAACTTGAAATATTTCCCATTCAAAATCATGATGACTTCTCTCAAAATCAAATCTTTGGCAATATTACAGGTGTTGCTCACTTTAACACACATATTTAGATTAGACAGAATTCGATCATAATTCAGAGGCGGTGAAGTAAATCACGTAAACATATGTTGACGTAAGTTGTGTTCATAAGTGCTAGAAGGTGAAATTACACTGCAAAGCCCCAATTTCCATCGAAGTGCGAAACAATAACAGAGCAAACAAAAGCGGCTCTCACGAAGCGTTGTGTAAGCCAAGAAGTTAACCCAGACAATGGGAAACGAAAAGAACGGAGTCCCACAACTATCCATGTTCTTCAACTTCTAATGAATGAAAAGAGCACTGAAGCCACAATATTAAGCAAACGTGAGTATTTAACCTGCGCCTCTTAGACAAGCCAGTTTTGATCGAAATTTTCAGAGTTAAATAGCTTACGTCGCGATAAAAAGTCGAAAAGTATGCTTCAACAAAAGACTTACGTCAGTTATAGATTGTGTGAAATCTCAACAAATCCCTTGTTGTTTCTATATCAACAGAAGATACCCTTATCTGGCAGCCAATGAAACGAGACGTTTTTATTACTGGCAGAATTTGAATTGCAGCCAGTTGCAAAGCTAATTTCTAAGAAAGCGAGCAATATTTCAATATTTGGGGGTGAAAAAATCGGAACGTTCATTATTTGAAGTCAAAGCATGAGTCTAAAATAGGGCTTTCATAGTACACGGAGAAAAATCTCTCATCACAGTAAGGTGTGATATGTGAAAACGCATACAAACTGATCGGTCATAATCGGAAGACGCCTTTCATTTACAAATTTTATTTGAGAAGAGTAATTGAAGGTAACAGTAAACTCACAGTGACTTCAATGGTTTGAGACCGACATTCGGGGGAGATGGCAGATGCTTTCTTTGCCTCTATCACCTCTGCAGTGAAACCCATCTCGTTAACCAAATCCGCAAGTTTTGACGGCTCAGTTAACGAAGCATCATAGGCTATTTCAGCTTTATTTGAGAGCAAACTAACCGTTGCAGTCTTGACACCTATTTGAGATAAGGAAAATTAGTGCAGGTAATCACGACACAATAACGATTATAACCCAATGGCTCAATGAAGGTAATTACATTATACTGCAACTTAATAAAAGTAGGAGTAAATATAACTTGACCACAACAGTAATCACATTAAAGTTGATAACATTAGGAATGGTAAAAATTTATTTCAACGCTCTCAAACCATAATATTCTGTTACCGTGTATTTCGTACATAGCAACATGGTTTCTATTTCCGAGAAAGACAAAAAAGCCAATTATATTCTAATGACAATTTTTAGCAGGAAAAAAAAATTGAAGAGCTCAAATATTCCCAGACAAAACCAACAGTAACTGAAAAAAAACTGGCGTAGAAGAGGCAATACTGAGACAAAATAAGGCAATTAAAGGTGTAATTAAAGTTAATTAGTCCCTGCAACGACGAAGCACGCAACTACGAATTTCAGATACGAAAACGCAATAGCTCTAAGCAGAAACAATTGAGATTACATACGTGGGCTAAATAAGATAGCGAAAAAAGTAACACAACGATGCGTTTAAACATATCGTAGGAAAATGCTTCAAATTACTGCAAGTAATCATCCAAATGACATATATTAAGGTTAGCGTGAAAGTAATAGGAATATCCGTTTTGTAGAAATAAGTGGCATAAGTGGAATACAAAGGCTTATTAACAGATGATTTAAGAGAAAGGCAATTGGTGAAGAATGAAGTAAGACAACTCGTAAAGTGATTTGCCCTACTCAGTCAACAAGAGTCTTGATACTCCAAGGCATGACAAGAATATTTATAAATCCTAAAGTACAACCTGAGATTACAGGATCATATGAGAATATAGCACGCTGTTTGTGACGATAGCTAAAGGTCAAATGGCAGGCAGAAACTTTTCCACAAACAGTTAACACTAATTTTTAGGGATTACTCACCTATGTCCACTAGTGAAATTATCTTACGAATTTTTCTCCATCAAGATCAATAGCTGAGTGATTTGGAAAGGACTATCAATGGCCAATGGACTAAATTCTTGAACTATATTAAATGTCTGATTCATCTATCCAAATTTGGAAGAGGTAGAACCGAAGAGAAAGCGTGCTCACCTTGAATTTTATTCAACACCCCCTCGATAGCATTAACGCAGCTACTGCATGTCATTCCCGTTACATGAAGTCGACAGATTGACCAATCGCCGCCCTTCAAATAGCCTAGATTAATTCTTGCTTCTTCTGGATCCTCACTAAATGCGGACGACGGTACTGACGAATCGGAAATATTTCCCCATTTTACTTCATCTAAAAGAAAAACAAAAAGTATACCCAAAGAGAAAAGGGCTTAACACAAAAAGAAACTTACTCCTAAAGCCTGAGTTCGAAGAAAAGCAGTTATAGCCGAGTTTCTCAAGAGCCGAATGTATTTTGCTCAAATTAAAACTCCGCAGGAAAGTATCATTCAGAGTAGAACGAGAGTTTAAGGTTACAATCACCTCGTCACTACCTAGTCTCGTTTCAAATGCTCCCTCAGGGAGAAGAGGTAGCAGTGCGGCCAATGCTCTTTTCCCAGTCTCCTCACTCGTTATTCCATAAATCGATATGCAGATCTGCAACGCAGGAAGAGATAGTATAAAATTAGTGGGCTCTGATATGTTTAAAATGTCTTCATCCACTTGGTAAGCAGATGAATCAAGTTGGTTTTACCGGCCATTTAACTCATGCACCCACCCCTCGGGCCACATTCTATAATGAACCATACTTGTCAATTTTGTGTGTTCCGATTTCACACTTCTATTTGTTTGTATCTTCAAAGCCTACTGATGACAGTGACAGTTTCAATTTTACTGCCAGTTTTGAAAAGCTGCACTGTTTACTAGTCCCACTTGCAACGCGCTCAGGTATGCTGCTCAATCAAAATCAATCAGAATAAATAACTTGAAAGTGCTCACGGATTGAGCTAATAAGTTACAATTTTAGGAAATTAGAAAGGATAAAGTTGTGAGGAAATGTAAGTAAACTCCCAACCCTCCCCCCCCCCCAAATATCCTAATTTTAAATTAAAGGAGGGACAAATAGACCTAGGCTTAATGCAATTTGAGAAAAAAACGGATTAGCTAACACTTAGCAAGAGAGAAAGGATTAATTTTACTCAAAATCTTTAATAGTTGCGCTTACTTGAAATTATCCCGGAGATTAGGTAGGTATTTTAATTAAAAAGGCATAAATAGGTCTAAATTCGAGAATCTTCTTATAGGCGTTGTGGGGATTAACTTGTCAAGTCATATAAAAAAACTGTCAAAATCGAATGTAGTAATATGGAATAGATAATCGAGTTAAACCGAGGAATGTCAAAATTATATTGATCAGAGAAGAATTAAAATAAATAGACTCCAATATGCAAAGAAAAATTTTTACTAACAAATGAATTAGAAAAAAACGCTAGAATTTTAATGATTATGTAACTTCATTCTGCTTTTTTGTAAGGACCTGAAATACATTGAAGAAACGTTCCCAGTATCTGCCTGATCGAAAGCTAATAATTTAAAGCTACAAGAAGGTAAATTCATCAGGTATGGAGAAGAAACTAACATAACACATATTACTAAAAATAATTCTAAAAGCCTCAAAACATGTGTAACAACATTTATAAGCTACAGCCTAGAAATAAGTGAAGAAAGTAATACCTCTAAATTGGACGGAACAGATCTGATACTTGCAGAAGGATATCCGTTCGCGGTGAGCTTGTCAGCGACAGATCGAGTTGAGGTCTGTTTAGGAAGAGAAATTATATGCCGATAGGATTGCTCATTTGGGCAAAATGCAAGACTCTCTAGAGGAATATCTCCGACAATTTCTTGAATGGAATCGATCAGAAGAGAAGCAACCATATCCACAATGAGATAGCTACTTTCATGCCGAAGACTAATTGAAGATTCCAGAGGATCGAATTCTGCCACCGTATTCTCCAAAGAGTTCACCGCAGTTAATGTAACATCGAAGCCCTGTTGGTTCAGCTTGGAAAGAATTTCTAGAATTAGGGAGAGATCGAAGGGGGTGAGGATTAAAACGGACAGAAGGGGAATGTCGAGTACGTTAGTAATAAGTACGCCCCCACAATAAGTGAAAGGGGGAGAAGGGTAAAACACATCTATAATTACAAATTAACCTGCTCTACCAGGAAAACAAGGGAGACCGTAACGTCCGCAAATGTGAACAAATTAGCATGACAGGATTATAATATGCACATATGCAGATATTCACACCAATTAATGGACACAATCTGAGTCAGTATAGCTACTCAATGTGCGGAATAAATCTCCAGTACATTATTATATTTAATAATCGATAAAATGAAGACTAAAATAGGGCACAAGACATGGCAGTTTATAAAGGCCAAAAAATAAAAATACTCATTTTAAGATCATATAAACTAATTTAATACAAATAAATAAAAAAGTTCACCAAACTTCAAAACTTGAAAGAATAAAAGATACTCTTATGTTCTATACATAAAAGAACTCAAAGTAATGATTAGAAATATCAACCAACCTTGAGGGGAAATGTCGTCGGAAGTACTCCAGATTTCAACTGTATTAGAAGTACTGGCTTGTAAGACGTATAAAATACCCGGAATTGTGTATAGCAATTGAGAAATAGCTTCAAAGTCAGAAGACGTATAATTGAAAGACTGGGATCGAATAAGACTTGGAGGATTGTTGCAGGAAGGAAGAAAAGTTCTAGTAGATGCACGACCACATGCAGATTCAAAGTTCTCAGTTATGAAATAAGCCTCAAACCCGAGATTGTGTATTTTGTCGATTAGTGCATCGGCAGTAATCTGAGGGGATGAGAAGGCGACAAAAGCCTGCTTACACGCAAGACTGACCTAAAATTAATTTAGAAATACTTTATTTGACCAAGAATTAAAATAAATATCACAACTTAATGATCCAGGATGTAGTAGGTGTGGGTGAAAAAAGCCTTACAAAACATTTTCTTTAGTAAATTAAAGAAGATGAGGCAAATAACAATTCAATGAACGAATTGGTTTAGATATCTTTAATTAATGTACCAATTTAATGATACAGAAGACACCAAAGATTCCAGAAGAAGTAAGATTTGTTATAGACGAACGATTATTCAAGTATGTAAGTTATCCAGGAACTTACATCCACAGCCAAAATCCCATAAGAATTGTTAAGAGCATCTGTGATTTTACTGACACAGCTAATGCATCTCATCCCATTTATGTGTAGAGCGCATGCCCCGTACATCCTGGCAAATGCGACCTAACCTTTACCAACTTATCTATACCGGTTTTATAGAAGCATCTCAAGGCCAGTGCAGAAGAGATAAATAATCAAAATTACAAGCCTCATATTTATTGTGTGAATACTACAAAGTAAAACGATTCATTAGCTAAATTTAAAATTATTAATATATTATAATTAATATATTTTATATTTACATTACTCCCAAAAGCCAATGATACAAGCATATTTTCAATTATTCAAATCATTAATACATTTTGGCCTACTTTCATAACGACAGCTTAACGCTTGTGTTCATCTAACATTCTTTCAATCCCGCATTTGGTCAAATGTTGCCCTTACCATTATTTATTAAGATAAATGTATCTGGTTATTACAATAGCTTAGTGGGGTGTACGATAGACTTACACCCGCGTGGCGCTCCCTCCATAAAAGGTATATTAACGCGGCAAAATAGTCCATTAACCGGCAATTAACTTCTGACTTTAAACTACTATGACCCGACTGCATGTCGTATTCAACCACTTCCACAGTACTCCCCTAACCATTTTTCTACCTTTGTGTCGGTCTCTTTTACGTCTTTGAAACACTCTTCTGCCCTCCCCTCTAGACTTTTTTCACTTTAATGCACCTTACCTTTGTGAAGCCTGAAGTCAACCTAAGAGCTAATGATAACTTTCAAAACGTCTGCCATTTGATTTAAACTATAGCTTAGTATATGTCAACCATTATGCTTCAAATTTCACCGAAAACTGATTTACTTGAACTTTTCTTTGAATTGTAACTCTTTTTGGAAAAAAACAAATGAACCATAACAGAACATGGATTAGTAATTTATCGTTAATCATTATTAAATCCGGCATATGTGCAAAATTGGGCAAATTGAAATGGCGGGAACCTACCAAATTAGAATCAAGCCTACCACTAAGAGTAGCTTAGATCTGGGATTTGCGGCCTAGTCGGGAATCTAACAAGATCTCTAAGAAACAAACAAACACAGATCGACCATGGATTGACGCAACCAAACTTCCATTCAACAAGAACGTTGAACACCGATCATTGCATATGGAGGAACATCCAACAGGACGCTCGTCAGTGGACCAAATACAGCCACACTCGCTCAGCCGGCAAGGTCCATGAGCATGCACGAAGTCCACAATCCTACTGCCTCTAACTCCAACAATCCGGTCTCAGCAGTTCCAACACCTGTCCCACCTCTACCCAAAACCCTGTTACTCTGAGGCCGAAGATCTACCCTCCCCTCCCAACTAGTTGTTTTGTACCTTAACTGATTATCGAGCGATTTCCTTATCTTTCAGCTCTCAACAAACGCTCTGTGCGTCATCGTATGCCTGCGTGTCTGCTCGCCAGGATTGAGAGGTGCGGCCGTACAACTCTGTGTGCAGCGACCGTACAAACAGTGGCCAATCATCAACCTCTGTTTAACCTAATCCCCCATCTTGATCATGAGTAGCTCCATGTGTGCACACTTTATCCACAATATACTAACTGAACAAACGTGCTCCGTGCTACACGTCTGTTTCCTTTATAGCTGGGCTATAGGTTAGCTGGTTCTGGGAGTCTAGCTAGATGTTTGAGAATCCGCCATAGAGATTTCTGAGTCAGTCAGGCTTTACTAGCGTAGCAATCCGCTACAAAACAAACAAACACAGATCGTTTACCATCTTTACAATTTCATGAGCAATCAGTCTTCGGCCTTTTGACTGTCAATAGATTGCTCAATTCGGAACAAAATGTCTGAGAACCAAAGTACGAGAAACAGCATCAAAAATATAAATGCAAACAAAACCATTATTTTTCGAGTTCACAACTTTGTATTTTGAGGAATAATATGCTAGCACCACTCTCGAAGTCTACCGATGCATAAAATGAGAAAAATAAGCAAAATTTGAAGTAGAGAGTATATTTTATTAAGATTGTAC